CACCTGACTTGTCCCTACTCCCCTATGTCCATGTATTCATTCACCTGACTTGTCCTATTCCCCTATGTCCATGTATTCATTCACCTAGCTTGCCCTATTCCCCTATGTCCATGTATTCATTCTAGCTTGTCCTATTCACTAGCTTGTCCCTACTCCCCTATGTCCATGTCCATGGTACTTCATTCACCTGACTTGTCCTATTCCCCTATGTCCATGTATTCATTCACCTGACTTGTCCTATTCCCCTATGTCCATGTATTCATTCACCTAGCTTGTCCTACTCCCCTATGTCCCTATGTATTCATTCACCTAGCTTGTCCTACTCCCCTATGTCCATGTATTCATTCATCTAGCTTGTCCTACTCCCCTATGTCCATGTATTCATTCACCTAGCTTGTCCTACTCCCCTATGTCCATGTATTCATTCACCTCATGTCACCTATTCATTCACCTGACTTGTCCTATTCCCCTATGTCCATGTATTCATTCATCTAGCTTGTCCTATTCCCCTATGTCCATGTATTCACCTTCACCTAGCTTATTCATTCACCTGTTGTCCTACTCCCCTATGTCCATGTATTCATTCACCTAGCTTGTCCTACTCCCCTATGTCCATGTATTCATTCACCTGACTTGTCCCCTACTCCCCTATGTCCATGTATTCATTCACCTGACTTGTCCCTACTCCCCTATGTCCATGTATTCATTCACCTAGCTTGTCCTACTCCCCTATGTCCATGTATTCATTCACCTGACTTGTCCCTACTCCCCTATGTCCATGTATTCATTCACCTGACTTGTCCCTACTCCCCTATGTCCATGTATTCATTCACCTAGCTTGTCCCTACTCCCCTATGTCCATGTATTCATTCACCTAGCTTGTCCTATTCCCCTATGTCCATGTATTCATTCACCTGACTTGTCCTACTCCCCTATGTCCATGTATTCATTCACCTAGCCTATTCCCCTTGTCCATACTCCCCTATGTCCATGTATTCATTCACCTGACTTGTCCTATTCCCCTATGTCCATGTATTCATTCACCTACTTGTCCCTACCCCTCCACAGTGGATATAAAAAGTCTTCACCCCCCCCCCCCCGGTCCGGTTTCTGTGATGCAAAAATAATGAAACAAAAATAAATAATTTCAGAACTTTTTCCATTTTTAATGTGACCCATAAAACTGTACAACTCGGGGGAGCAACAAACTGACATCATTTGGGGGGGGTAAAAATAAAACCCCAAAATAATACAAGATGCACTTCATTCTCCAACACCCCCCCCCACGCCCAGAGATGTCCTGCATATCCCTGAGGACCTACAGTGCTGAGTCCACCCCCCACCAGGGCAGGTGACATGTCCCCCCCCGCCCCCGAGGACCTACAGTGCTGAGTCCACCCCCCACCAGGGCAGGTGACATGTCCCCCCCCCGCCCCCGAGGACCTACAGTGCTGAATCCACCCCCCACCAGGGCAGGTGACATGTTCCCCCCCGCCCCCGAGGACCTACAGTGCTGAGTCCACCCCCCACCAGGGCAGGTGACATGTCCCCCCCGCCCCCGAGGACCTACAGTGCTGAGTCCTCCCCCCACCAGGGCAGGTGACATGTCCCCCCCCCCCCCCCGAGGACCTACAGTGCTGAGTCCTCCCCCACCAGGGCAGGTGACATGTCCCCCCACCCCTTGCCCCCGAGGACCTACAGTGCTCAGCATGAGTCCACCCCCCCACCAATGCAGGTTACATGTCCCCCCCGCCCCCGAGGACCTACAGTGCATGAATGCGTCCACCCCCCACCAAGGCAGGTGACATGTCCCCCCCCGCCCCCGAGGACCTACAGTGCTTAGCACAACTGAGTCCTCCCCCCACCCAAGGGCAGGTGACATGCCCCCCCCCTCCCCCCGCCCCCGAGGACCTACAGTGCTCAGCATGAATGAGTCCACCCCCCACCAAGGCAGGTTACATGTCCCCCCCCCGCCCCCGAGGGACCTACAGTGCTCAGCATGAATGAGTCCACCCCCCACCAAGGCAGGGGACATGTCCCCCCCGCCCCCCGAGGACCTACAGTGCTTAGCACAACTGAGTCCACCCCCCACCAAGGCAGGTGACATGCCCCCCCCCTCCCCCCCGCCCCCGAGGACCTACAGTGCTCAGCATGCTGAGTCCACCCCCCACCAAGGCAGGTTACATGTCCCCCCCGCCCCCGAGGACCTACAGTGCTTAGCACAACTGAGTCCACACCCCCCACCAAGGCAGGTGACATGCCCCCCCCCCTTCCCCCCGCCCCCGAGAGGACCTACAGTGCTCAGCATGAATGAGTCCACCCCCCACCAGGGCAGGTTACATGTCCCCCCCCCCCCCCGAGGACCTACAGTGCTCAGCATGAATGAGTCCTCCCCCCACCAAGGCAGGGACATGTCCCCCACCCCCCGAGGACCTACAGTGCTTAGCACAACTGAGTCCACCCCCCACCAAGGCAGGTGACATGCCCCCCCCCTCCCCCCCCCCCCGAGGACCTACAGTGCTGAATCCCACCCCCCACCAGGGCAGGGGACATGTCCCCCCCGCCCCCCCCGAGGACCTACAGTGCTTAGACAACTGTCCACCCCCCACCAAGGGCAGGTGACATGCCCCCCCCCCCCCCCCCCCGCCCCCGAGGACCTACAGTGCTCAGCATGAATGAGTCCACCCCCACCAAGGCAGGTGACATGCCCCCCCCCCCCCTCCCCCCCGCCCCCGAGGACCTACAGTGCTCAGCATGAATGAGTCCACCCCCCACCAAGGGCAGGTGACATGTCCCCCCCCCGCCCCCCGCCCTCGAGGACCTACAGTGCTCAGCATGAATGAGTCCACCCCCCACCAAGGCAGGTGACATGCCCCCCCCCCCCCCCCCCCCGCCCTCGAGGACCTACAGTGCTCAGCATGAATGAGTCCACCCCCCACCAAGGCAGGTGACATGCCCCCCCCCCCCCCCCCCGCCCCCGAGGACCTACAGTGCTCAGCATGAATGAGGACACCCTTTTGACTCAATATCTCAGTGACCCCAGGAACGACCTCCACCATGGGGACAGATCAGAGTTGATGGAACATTTGTTTGGCTCATTACATGACAGGAAGGTTCATAATAGAAGTTCGATGATAAAATCTTCAGTTTGACTCAAATGAGTTGCAGCAAAAATGAATCCCCCCCCCCCCCCCCACAGCAAGAACTCCTCCATCGAGTCTGTAGGACCTCCATGATTGGTGAGGACGAGTCTTCTAGGCATGGAATGGACAAGTTGGTGACATATTGTGACATCGATCTTCTTCCATTCTTCAAGAACGACCTCTTCCAGATCCTGGATGCTGGTGGAGAGCGATGCTCAGCTTGTCTCCTCAGAACCCCCCATAGGGGTTGGATTGGGTTCAGATCAGGAGACAGACTTGGCCCCGGAATCCCTTCCCCCGATTCTTCTTCAGAAATCCAGCAGCAGTGGCCTTAGATGTGTGTTTTGGATCGTTGTCATGTTGGAGAAGTGCACGACGATCGAGGGCACGGAGTGATGGGAGCATCTTCTCCTCCAGTACAGAGCAGGACATCTGTGAATTCATGACACCATCAATGAAATGCAGATCCCTGACACCAGCAGCACTCATGCAGCCCACAGAAGGACACTGCCACCACCATGTCTCACAGTAGGCACCACGCATTTTTGTACTCCTCACCTTTGTGACGCCATACAGTTATGAAGCCATCAAATCATAAAACATTGATCTTGGTCTCATCACTCCAGAGTACAGGGTTCCAGTAGTCTTCTTCTTCAGCATGGGCCCTGGCAGATTCTAGGTGATCTTTTTTGTCCATGGGCTTCAGGAGAAGTTTCCTCCATGGACGACACCCATGCATGCCATTCCTCTGCAGTGTACGCCGTATGGTGTCACAGGAAACAATCACCCCAGTTTGGCTTTCTACTTCTCTAGCTAACTGCAGTGACCTTGCATGGAGTTTGTCTTCAATCCTTCCCATCAGAAGACGCTCCTGTCGAGGTGTTCACTTCCGTGGACGGCCTGGACGTCTCTGTGAGATGGTTGCAGTTCCGTCTTCCTTACATTTTTGTATCACTTTTGCTCCAGTATTCTGACTGATAAGTGAAGCTTTGCTGATCTTCTTGTAGCCGTCACCTTTCTGGTGTCAAGAAATGATTTCCTTTCTCAGGCCTTGTGGCATTTCTCCTCCATGTGGTGCCGTCGCTGACCTCATGAAATGGGAGGGCTTGCTTTGTCTAAAATGTAGCTTTACTCCTAAGACATTCATTGGGGTGTGTTCATTTTTGCAGCATGGTCTGGGATGAATTTGTTAGGAAAAATACTTTTTTGTGTGCAGAGATTACCAAAATCTTGTGTGCAATCAATGGCCGGCATTTGTGGGAGGAGTTTGTAGTATCGCGTCCTATAGAAAATGTGGATTCGGAAAGGAAAGGTTTTCTGACAGATCTGTTGGGGCGGAGTCATGTATGCTGAGCGCTGTGTACACGGCTCAACCAATGAGAGGAAGACTCTGAGAACCCATCAGACCCCAAAGGGGAGGAATCTCTTGCTGGATCTCTATCCTGACATGGACGGGGGATGGGTGAGGAATGTAGGACGCCCCATTGTTGGATGGAAATGATCGACCTACAGAGGACTGAATTCACAGACACCCCGAAAATCAAAGTGAAGTAATGATGCAGCAGGGGAGTCCATGTTGGTGAAATGTCATTGCAGCAACTCAGAATGGTGCTCAGTAGTCTGTGTGGCCCCCATGTTCTTGTATGCATGCCTGACAACGTCGGGGGAGGGGCCTAATGAGACCACGGATGGTGTCCTGGGGGATTTCCTCCAAGATCTGGACCAGGGTGTCACTGAGCTCCTGGACAGTCTGAGGTGCAACCTGGAGGCGTCGGATGGACCGAAACATGACATCCCAGAGGGGTTCTATTGGATTTAGGTCAGGTGAGTGTGGGGGCCATTCAATGGTATCAATTCCTTCATCCTCCAGGAACTGCCTGCATACTCCCCCCACATGAGGCCAGGCATTGTCTGCACCAGGAGGAACGCAGGACCCACTGCACCAGGAGGAACCCAGAACCCACTGCACCAGGAGGAACCCAGGACCCACTGCACCAGGAGGAACCCGGGACCCACTGCACCAGGAGAACCCAGAACCCACTGCACCAGGAGGAACCCAGAACCCACTGCACCAGGAGGAACCCAGGACCCACTGCACCAGGAGGAACCCGGGACCCACTGCACCAGGTGGAACCCAGGACCCACTGCACCAGGAGGAACCCAGAACCCACTGCACCAGGAGGAACCCGGGACCCACTGCACCGGGAGGAACCCAGGACCCACCGCACCGGGAGGAACCCAGGACCCACCGCACCGGGAGGAACCCAGGACCCACCGCACCGGGAGGAACCCAGGACCCACCGCACCGGGAGGAACCCAGGACCCACCGCACCGGGAGGAACCCAGGACCCACACCGGGAGGAACCCAGGACCCACCGCAGGGGAGGAACCCAGGACCCAGCCGCACAGGGAGGAACCCAGGACCCAGCGCACAGGGAGGAACCGGGGATCCCACTGCACCAGGAGGAACCCAGGACCCTCTGCACCAGGAGGGAACCCAGGACCCCCACTGCACCAGGAGGAACCCAGGACCCACTTCACCAGGAGGAACCCAGGACCCGCTTCACCAGAGGAACCCAGGACCCGCTGCACCAGGAGGAACGCAGGACCCACTGCACCAGGAGGAACCCAGGACCCACTGCACCAGGAGGAACCCAGGACCCACTGCACCAGGAGGAACCCGGGACCCACTGCACCAGGAGGAACCCAGGACCCACTGCACCAGGAGGAACCCAGAACCCACTGCACCAGGAGGAACCCAGGACCCACTGCACCAGGAGGAACCCGGGACCCACCGCACCAGGGAGGAACCCAGGACCCACTGCACCAGGAGGAACCCAGAACCCACTGCACCAGGAGGAACCCGGGACCCACCGCACCGGGAGGAACCCAGGACCCACCGCACCGGGAGGAACCCAGGACCCACCGCACCGGGAGGAACCCAGGACCCACCGCACCGGGAGGAACCCAGGACCCACCGCACCGGGAGGAACCCAGGACCCACCGCACCGGGAGGAACCCAGGACCCACCGCACCGGGAGGAACCCAGGACCCACGCACAGGGAGGAACCCAGGACCCAGCGCACAGGGAGGAACCGGGATCCGCTGCACCAGGAGGAAACCAGACCTCACCCAGAACCCTCTGCACCAGGAGGAACCCAGGACCCGCTGCACCAGGAGGAACCCAGGACCCGCTTCACCAGGAGGAACCCAGGACCCGCTTCACCAGGAGGAACCCAGGACCCACCGACCCGCCAAGCCCCCACCGCACCGGAGGAACCCAGGACCCACTGCACCAGGAGGAACCCAGGACCCCGCTTCACCAGGAGGAACCCAGGACCCCGCTTCACCAGGAGGAACCCGGACCCGCTGCACCAGGAGGAACCCGGACCCACTGCACCAGGGAGGAACCCGGGACCCGCCGCACCAGGAGGAACCCGGGACCCACCGCACCAGGAGGAACCCGGGACCCACCGCACCAGGAGGAACCCAGGACCCACCGCACCAGGAGGAACCAGGACCCACCGCACCAGGAGGAATCCAGGACCCACCGCACCAGGAGGAATCCAGGACCCACTGCACCAGGAGGAACCCAGGACCCACTGCACCAGGAGGAATCCAGGGACCCACTGCACCAGGAGGAACCCAGGACACCACTGCACAAGAGGAAATCAGGACCCACCGCACCGGGAGGAACCCAGGACCCACCGCACCGGGAGGAACCCAGGACCCACCGCACCGGGAGGAACCCAGGACCCACCGCACCGGGAGGAACCCAGGACCCACCGCACCGGGAGGAACCCAGGACCCACCGCACCGGGAGGAACCCAGGACCCACCGCACCGGGAGGAACCCAGGACCCACCGCACCGGGAGGAACCCAGGACCCACCGCACCGGGAGGAACCCAGGACCCACCGCACCGGGAGGAACCCAGGACCCACCCGCACCGGGAGGAAACCCAGGACCCACCGCACCGGGAGGAACCCAGGACCCACCGCACCGGGAGGAACCGGGGATCCGCTGCACCAGGAGGAACCCAGAACCCTCTGCACCAGGAGGAACCCAGGACCCGCTGCACCAGGAGGAACCCAGGACCCGCTTCACCAGGAGGAACCCAGGACCCGCTTCACCAGGAGGAACCCAGGACCCGCTGCAGCCCAGGAGGAACCCAGGACCCGCTTCACCAGGAGGAACCAGGACCCGCTTCACCAGGAGGAACCCAGGACCCGCTTCACCAGGAGGAACCCAGGACCCGCTGCACCAGGAGGAAACCCAGGACCCGCTGCACCAGGAGGAACCCAGGACCCGCTTCACCAGGAGGAACCCAGGACCCACTGCACCAGCGTAGGGTCTGACAATGGGTCCAAGGATTTAATCCCCATACCTAATGGCAGTCCCGGTGCCATTGTCTAGCCTGTAGAGGTCTGTGTGTTCCTCCATGGATATGCCTCCCCAGACCATCACTGACCCACCACCACAACGGTCATAACTGAACCATGTTACAGGCAGCAGAACGTTCTCCACGGCTTCTCCTGACCCTTCACGTCTGTCACATGTGCTCAGGGGGAACCTGCTCTCATCTGTGAAAAGCACAGGGTGCCAGTGGTGGACCTGCCAATTCTGGGGTTCAATGGCCAATGCCAATCCAGCTCTATGGTGCCGGCAGTGAGCACAGGGCCACTAGAGGATGTCGGGCCCTCAGGCCACCCTCATGAAGTCTTTTTCTGATTGTTTGGTCAGAGACATTCCCACCAGTGGCCTGCTGGAGGTCATTTTGTAGGGCTCTGGCAGGACTCATCCTGTTCCTCCTTCCACAAAGGAGCAGATACCGGTGTCCTGCAGATGGGTTAAGGACCTTCTACGGCCCTGTCCAGCTCTCCTAGAGGAACTGCCTGTCTCCTGGAATCTCCTCCGTGTTCTCGTCTCCTGGAATCTCCTCCGTGTTCTCTCGTCTCCTGGAATCTCCTCCGTGTTCTCGTCTCCTGGAATCTCCTCCGTGTTCTCGTCTCCTGGAATCTCCTCCGTGTTCCCGTCTCCTGGAATCTCCTCCGTGCTCTCGTCTCCTGGAATCTCCTCCATGCTCTCGTCTCCTGAATCTCCTCCGTGTTCTCGTCTCCTGGAATCTCCTCCGTGTTTTCTCAGTCTCCTGGAATCTCCTCCGTGTTCTCGTCTCCTGGAATCTCCTCCGTGTTCTCGTCTCCTGGAATCTCCTCCGTGTTCTCGTCTCCTGGAATCTCCTCCATGCTCTCGTCTCCTGGAATCTCCTCCATGCTCTCGTCTCCTGGAATCTCCTCCATGCTCTCGTCTCCTGGAATCTCCTCCGTGCTCTTGAAGACTGTGCTGGGAGACACAGCAAACCTTCTGGCAATGGCAGGTATTGATGTGCCATCCTGGAGGAGTTGGACTGCCTGTGCAACCTCTGTAGGGTCCAGGTATGGCCTCATGCTACCAGTAGTGACACTGACCCGAGCCAAATGCAAAACCAGTGAGAGACAGTCAGAAAAGAGGAGTAGGGAAAAAATGTCAGTGTACTCCACCTGTAAAAAAACCATTCCTGTTTTGGGGGTCGTCTCATTGTTGCCCATCTAGTGCCCCTGTTGGTGATTTCATGAACCACCAAAGCAGCAGAAACTGATGAACAAACCCCCTCTGCTACACTTACCTGACCAGATCAATACCCCAGGAGTGTCATGGACTTGATGCGACTGGCGATTACAAAAGTCTCTGCAATTTCCTATATCCATATCTGTGTGTTGTGTATATAAGCGAGACATACACTACATTGCCCCAATTATTGGTTGGCTGGCCTTTCCACATCACATCGCAGTGAACTTAATGGCCCCCAGTCTTAGTCCCGTAGGGTTCAATATTGAGTTGGCCCCGCCCTTTCCATGTACATGACCTTTAATGGCCCCACCAGTCTTAGTCCGTAGGGATTCAAATATTGACAGTTGGCCCCGCCCTTTCCACACCACATGACCTTCATGGTCCCCACGGTCTTTGTCCGTAGGGTTTCAATATTGAGTTGGCCCCGCCCTTCCCACACACATGGACCTTTCATGGCCCCCGGTTTTTTTGTCCGTAGGGTTTTCAATATTGAGTTGGCCCCGCCCCTTCCCACAACACACATGACCTTAATGGCCCCCCAAAGTCTTAGTCCGTAGGGTTTGGATATATGAGTTGGCCCCACCCCTTCCCGCACACACATGACCTTTAATGGCCCCCCAGTCTTAAGTCGTAGGGTTCAATATTGAGTTGGCCCCGTCCTTTCCACACACCATGACCTTTAATGGCCCCCCAGTCTTAGTCCGTGGGGTTCAATATTGAGTTGGCCCCGCCCTTTGTACTATAACAGCTTCACCTCTTCTGGGTAAGGGGCCGTCCACAAGGGTTCAGGAGGGTGTCTAATGGGAAGGTTCTGGACCATTCTTCCAGAGAAGCACATTTGTCAGGTTAGGCTCTGATGTCGGGGGAGGAGGCACTGATGTCGGGGGAGGAGGCACTGATGTCGGGGGAGGAGGGCCTGGCTCGCAGTCTCCGCTCTAATTCATCCCAAAGGTGTTCTATGGGTTGAGGTTTCAGGACTCTGTGCAGGACAGTCAAGTTCCTCCACCCACAAACTGGCTCCTCCGTGTCTTTAAGGACCTTGCTTTGTGCACTGGTGCGCAGTCATGTTGAACAGGAAGGGGCCATCCCCAAACTCTTCCCACAAAGTTGGGAGCATGAAATTGTTCCAAAATGTCGCCATAAGAGTTCTCCCTTCTACACTGGCCGAAACTAGGGGGCCAAGCCCAACTCTCTCTGAAAAACAACCCCCAGCCATAATCCCCCCTTCACCCAACTTTACACTTGGCACCATGCAGTCCAGCAAGTACCGTCTCCACACGCCACCATGCCAAACCCATGACACATCCATCGGACTGCCAGACAGAGAAGTGTGATTGGGTCACTCCAGAGAACATGTCTCCCCTGCTCCCCCCACACCCACCCACCCCCCAACCCACTAGAGTCCAGTGGCGGCGTGCTTTACACCACGGCATCCAGACGCTTTGCATTGCACTTGGTGATGGAAGGCTTGGATGCAGCTGCTCGGGCCATGGAAACCCCCATTCCATGGAAGCTCTCTACAACACTGTTGTTGGGGCTCATCTGAAGGCCACACACCAGGTTTGGAGGTCTTTAGACTATGACTCTGCAGACAGTTGCGACTTCTGCGCACAGTGGTGCGCTTCAGCAGGCGCTGACCCCCTCCCTCGCCCTGTCATAGTGACGTGGCCTACCAATTTGGTGCTAGAGTGGCTGTACTGTTCCCAGTGGCTTCCACTTTGTTATTAATCCCACTAACTGTTGAGCGTGGCGAATATTTAGTAGCCAGGAAATGTCACGGAATGGACTTATTGCCACAGGGCCACCTATCCACCTATCGACACGGCTCACCATTTTTCTTTTTTTTTTTTCCCCCTTTTTACGCTTGGTGAGTCACTTTTGCTCCCCTGAGAGCGACCCATTCTTTCACCAATGTTTGTAGAAGCCGTCTGCATGCCTAGGGGGCTTGATTGTATATACACACCTGTGTCCATGGAGGGGATATTGGATCACCTGAATCACATGATATGGAGGGGATTGGAACCCCTGAATCACATGAGTTATGAGGGGGATTGGAACCCTGAATCACATGATATTATGGAGAGTGGATTGGAACCACCTGAATCACATGATATGGAGGGGGGATAGGAACACCTGAATCACATGATTTGGAGGGGATTGGGAACACCTGAATCACATGATATGGAGGGGATTGAGAACACCTGAATCACATGGTATGGAGGGGGATTGGAATACCTGAATCACATGAAATGGAGGGGATTGGAAATACCTGAATCACATGATATGGAGGGGATTGGAACACCTGAATCACATGATATGGAGAGTGATTGGAATACCTGAATCACATGATGTGGAGAGGATTGGAATACCTGAATCACGATGATTGTGGGACCGAGGATTGGAAATACCTGAAGCACATTGATGTGGGAGGGGATGGAGAACACCTGAATCACATGAACTGTGGAGGGATTGCAGCACTTGAATCACATGATTGGGAGGGCGATTGGAATACCTGAATCACATGATATGGAGGGGATTGGAATACCTGAATCACATGATATGGAGGGGATTGGGACACCGGAATACACATGATATGGAGGGATTGGGGACACCCTGAATCACATGATATGGGAGGGATTGGCATTCACCTGAATCACATGATATGGAGGGATTGGAACACCTGTCGAGCGCGCGCATCAGATCATGTATGCAGGGGAGATTGTGGGACACCTGAATCACATGACACACACACACACACTCGGAGGGGATCCCGGGAACACACCTGAATCACATGACTATGGAGGGGATTGGGACAGCCGAATCGCATGACATGGAGGGGATTGGGGACACCTTTGATCACATGATATGGAGGGGATTGGGGACATCGGACCCACATCACACACCAAAGTGATCATGGAGAGGATTGGAACACCTGATCACTCTCACATGATGATATGGAGGGATTGCAGCACTTGAATCACATGATAATTGGGAAGGGATTGGAAACCTGAATCACATTGATTGGAGGGTATTGGGACACCCGAATCTATCACATTGATATGGAGGAGATTGGGACACCGGTAATCACACTGAGAGGATGGAGGGGATTGGATCACCTGAATCACACATGACCTCCCACACTCACACCAGATTGGATAAGGTACAACGCGAGCTGGGAAGCTCACGATTTAGATATGGAGTGGGGATTGGGACCGAATGAATCCACATGACATGGAGGGGAATTGGGGGATCACCGGAATCACATGAATGGAGGGAAGTGGGACACCTGAACAATGATATGGAGGGGATTGGGACATCGGAAATCACATTGATATGGAGGGGATTGGAAACACCTGAATCACATGAATATGGAGGGGATTGGAATCAACCTGAATCACATGATATGGAGGGGATTGCGGGATTGGAACACCTGAATCACTATGATTTGGGGGGATTGGGACACCTGAATCACATGATTTGGGGGGCGAGGACAATACTTTGGGAAATATTAGTGTGTGTAATCTATATATAATCAGATCACTTCCAAGCCATCTGTCCTGATCTCACTTCCCTGCCTGTACTCACCCCACAGGGGGCTTCCTTGTCCCCTCCTCCCTGTAACCTTCCACTGTCTTCTCCCTGTGCAGAGTCTCCATATTGCTGCGGAGGGAAGAACACTGAGCCAGGACTCCCGGACTGCACCTCCTGCACCTCTCAGCCAGGTAAGTGTGATATGGAAATTGCAGACTCCGCCTCCTGCACCTCTCAGCCAGGTAAGTGTAATGGGGAATTGGCAGACTCCGCCTCCTGCACCTCTCAGCCAGGTAAGTGTAATGAGGGGATTAGCAGACTCCGCCTCCTGCACCTCTCAGCCAGGTAAGTGTAATGGATTGGCAGACTCCGCCTCCTGCACCTCTCAGCCAGGTAAGTGTAATGGATTGGCAGACTCCGCCTCCTGCACCTCTCAGCCAGGTAAGTGTAATGGGGAATTGGCAGACTCCGCCTCCTGCACCTCTCAGCCAGGTAAGTGTAATGGGAAATTGGCAGACTCCGCCCCCTTCACCTCTCAGCGAGGTAAGTGTAATGGGAAATTGGCAGACTCCGCCCCCTGCGCCTGTCAGCCAGGTAAGTGTAATGAGGGATTGGCAGAGATTAGTGAAGCCAGGGGATCAGAATGACAGCCAGGTCACTAGTATATTCCGGAGGGGGTCAGGTTTCTCCGATCGTCTTGCAGGGGGTGGCATGCACATAGCTGGCAGGAGACGTGGCTGACCTGGTCCTTCATCCCCCTCCATCCTCTGATAGCAGAGAGGGCCGCAGTGGCGGGTGTCAGGGTGTCACCCCCCCCCCCCCCCATATCAGGGTGGGGACACCTCACACCTCTCCCGGCGCCTCCTGCTGTCTCGTAATTCATTTATTGTCTCGTTAAACTTGCTGGCGGCTCGGCAGTAAATTCCGGAGAAAAAAAAAAATTCGGGTCCGCCTGTCAGGTGACTCCTCTAGGGTACAGGTGAGCTCCTCCATTCTGCCTGGACCCCAGTACACTGCCCGGAGGATGGGGGGATGAGGGTAAAGCTGTGACAGCTCAGTGCGGATGCTGGGGGTTGTAGTGTTGGGGAGTATCAGGGGCCGTGGGAGGCGCGGAGTTAATGAGTGCGATTTGTGTAATTATGTTATCAGCTGATTATTCTCCGTGAACTTTGTGTCCATTTCCTGCAGATCGCATGGCGAAGGGATGAGCGTCACCCCACACAATTCCTACTGACCCCCCACCCAGCGCCTACTGACCCCCCCGCACAGCGCCCACTGACCCCCCACACAGCGCCTACTGACCCCGCAGGTAAGAGACACCCTGCACTGGGAGTAGTAGCACCCCCCCCCCCCCATCCTTATCTGTGTCACCCTGCAAATTGAGGAGCGCCACCCCTCGGGGTCACCCCCTGCCCTTGTGCTGGATGAAGTAGGCCCACCCACTCTGTTCCTTTGTTAGAAGGAGCAGACCCCCCCCCCCCCCCCCGTGCTGGAAGGAGTAGACCTCCCTCTGTCCCTGTGCTGGAAGGAGTAGCCCTCCCTCTGTCCCCGTGCTGGAAGGAGTAGAATCTCCCTCTGTCCCTGTGCTGGAAGGAGTAGACCTCCCTCTGTCCCTGTGCTGGAAGGAGTAGACCTCCCTCTGTCCCCGTGCTGGAAGGAGTAGACCTCCCTCTGTCCCTGTGCTGGAAGGAGTAGACCTCCCTCTGTCCCTGTGCTGGAAGGAGTGGACCTCCCTCTGTCCCTGTGCTGGAAGGAGTGGACCTCCCTCTGTCCCTGTGCTGGAAGGAGTAGACCTCCCTCTGTCCCTGTGCTGGAAGGAGTAGACCCCCACCCCCCCCCCTTCCCTGTGCTGGAAGGAGTAGACCCCCCCTTCCCTGTGCTGGAAGGAGTAGACCTCCCTCTGTCCCTGTGCTGGAAGGAGTAGACCTCCCTCTGTCCCTGTGCTGGAAGGAGTAGACCTCCTCTGTCCCTGTGCTGGAAGGAGTAGAACCTCCCTCTGTCCCTGTGCTGGAAGGAGTAGACCTCCCTCTGTCCCTGTGCTGGAAGGAGTAGACCTCCCTCTGTCCTGGAAGGAGTAGACCTCCCTCTGTCCCTGTGCTGGAAGGAGTAG